GCCCGTATCGTCAGTCGTCCCTACAATTGTAGGGCGCCTTTATGGCCTCCTTGATTGTCATAGTTTTCTACTTCTCCGTGTCAGCGCTTTACTTTGAGGTTATGTCACAAACATCTATTTGCATCAAATTGTGCTTGCTTTTGATATCATGTTTTATCAGCTTGAAATTTCCTACAATTTAAAAAGAAAACATATCTTCACAATAGGAGAGCGCTGACGCTGACACGGGACAACTGTAATTTAGAAATTTTTGAAGGAGAGAAAGAAGTATGACAATCAAGGAGGCCATAAACGCGCCCTACAATTGTAGGGACCACTGACGATACGGGCCTAAGAAAGCTGACTCGTACTCTATACCATGCATATTCAAATGCCTTTTTACAAATCTACAATACTTTCTTCACTGGCAGCAAGCGAAGCAAGCAAATAATAAAGATGCATTCATATTCAATGTCCATATGTCGAGAATTGTATGGGAACTACAGGGTCGACCTACTTTCCACTATACCGCCAGAATCGACGGCATCTAGCAGGGCTGTCAAATGCGAAATGAAATACAGTATCTAATAATATACGAGGGTGTCTTTTTGGAGTATATCACTTATTTTTTTCGATAAAGCACCAAGAAACAGTATTTCCATGAATGAATTTATTTTGCTTGCTTGTTCGATTTTCTTATCTCCAAATCTTTGTTCCTCAAAGCATAAACCTAACGTAAGAAACATGATTTCAGGATTCACATTGCTTGTAGTATAGAAACAGGAAGTCCACCGATATTCTCGTGAATTGTTTCACTATGTCCCACCTCTTATGTGTATGGTATATTTGAAGTCACTTGAAATAGCATAAAAACCTTTGGTCGGCGCGTCCTTTGTAATTTCATGACGTATCATAGGCGTGCGGTGATTTATTTAGAACGATAATAATAATGTTTTTATATCACAATAAATGGATTTTACTATCTTCTTATTTTTTTGATTTGGGATAAAAAATACTTATATTGGGAGCTTAATTTATGTTGACTGAAAGTTAAGAAATGGAAAAATTACAGAATTCCAACGTTTGACATATGGCAAATATTTACATATCAGGTAGGTATATAAAAAGGTATATAAAGACTTACATTATAGGTATTTATATATCATCCTCGCCTTCGGAGCTGTCGCTAGAGTCATCTTGTAGATGAACTACAACGGGATTTACAGGAGGCAAAATACAATATTCATTTTCTTTTTCAATAATATGCCTAGAACACTGCTTCCATAGGTCTGTGGCAGCAATATGAGATACTGCATCTCTTATTGTGGCCAATAGCGATTCACTTAATTGAGGGGTCTGATTATGTTTTCTTACTTTTTTTTAAAGCAGCCCAGACCAACTCAATCGGGTTAAAAATGCAGTAATAGGGAGGTAGACGTAATACTTCATGGCCATTTTGCTGAAGCAGATTGTCAACAACATACTCTTTTTCAAATTTTTGCTTTTAATAAGATCCAATAATATGGCTTTTGTTGATTTTTGTGGTATTTCCATTCCCTTATCCTTCATAAAATCAATAATGTTTTGTTTTTTGTGCCTGTATTCGGAATTTTGTTTTTCTGTCGGGAATGGTATGGCGCATTGTCCATAATAATCACTGAATTTAGGGAAATGTTTGGTATTAACTGCTGCTCTATCCACTTTTCAAATAAGTCGGAGGTCATGTCCTCATGATAGTCGGCACATGATTCTTTGATATTTTTGGCAGATAACAAACAGCAAGGTATTAGGTATAAATCCATTTTCACTGCCGGCATGGAGAATAATGATTCGTTTTCCACGGTTGCATGGTGCATTTAAAATGCACTTGTTGCTGTCGTCAACCCAGCCGTACTGCACAACATCATGGGTATCATACCACGTTTCATCCAGGTAAATCAGATTTCTTTTCTGCTCTCTATAGATTTTAACTTTGTGCAAAAATTCTTGGCGCAATTCAACGATTCGAGACGACTCCATAATCACCATTCTTTTATCTAATTTTTTGTATTGAAAACCACACAGTTTTACAATACAGTGATGTGAGTCTAAGCATTTGTAATTATAAAAATCTTCAGGATAATCTTTTAATTTATCCCGTATCATTTCCAACGTGGGCACCAAATTTTCTTTATAAAATCCGTATATTATACGACGAATATCTTCCTGAAAACCCACGTCTATTCTTTTTAATTTTTGCCCTATGCGCTTTCTGTGGAAGGAATGGTTGACTACATCTCCTCCCCTTTTTATAACCCTTTTTATAGACCGACTGATTTTTGTCAGGATACAAATTCTGTTTAAAATTTGATTTTGCGAGGAATCTGGATTTTCGTTTTTCAAACAATCATATATATTTAGGATTACTCTTTGGGTCTGTTCCTCTAAATCTTTATGAAAGAATTCTGCCTGCACAGGTTCATCAACCATCTCCTCGTGGCTTGGAGCATTTTCCCAAGGTCTCCAAAGAGCCATATTTAGGACACACAAGAACAATCAACACAACAATTAAATCGACAAGTAAACTGAGTATTCAAAAGTCAAAAACACACAAACTAATAAAATCTATGAAAAAACACGGACAGACTAAAGAAAACACGTTTATTCACCGCTACACGGCACTGGCTAAACTGTTTCAATTTTCAGTAGCCACCTGCACTTTTTAGGAGCTCTGAAATACACGCTTTCTCATTGGCTATGTCCACGCATAGGCGTGCTTTACTCCACGTGGACCGGTGAAACTGCCTTTGACCTTATACGGGGGATAGTTGCTGCGAAATTTGGCGATTTTTGCAGCAACAGAGCGTGTTAAATATAGATATATAAAACGCACCCGGTATTTCACAGTGTTTCAAGTGACTTCAGATAAACTATACATCACTTTATGTACACACATCCCAGCTGTAACATGAAGAACTGGAAGCAATAACTGCTTTTTTGTTCCAAAATTAGGGACAATTTGACGCAATTCACTGAAATGTCAATGAAAGAATCCCGCATGAGTGAAAATTGACAAAGTCAGTCTACTTGACTACATTTTTGCATGTAAACAGAAAGTATCATCAAAATACGAGAGCATCTGTAAATGTATACGAATTTTAAACACAAATGAATCTTCATTATGTATACAAAACTTTAAAGCTCGTCGCAAGTAGCTCAAACAAACTAAATTCAACACACAGTAGCAAAAAGTTTACTAACACACACGTTGAATGTTATTCCAGCGTTCCGTAATCATAACAAATAACAAGCCGAACAAAAAGTTCGCTCCGTCGGGTATAACGAACTGATAAACAAGTTATGTGTGTCTGTGTATATCTTGCCACTTGAAACTTTATATTTGGCCGAGTTCCGTTTGTTTTCATATCAGAACTTTCGACAGTCGAACGTGCTCTGTGGCGTGTGATATAAGCGAAGAATTATTGGGGATATATATATGTCAAAAACTGCTTACTTGGTATCCAAAGTTAAAGTTGTGTCACAGGAAAATATTTTTTGATACGGAACATCGTGGGTTTCTAGCACTGGCGGATTTAGAGGGTGGCGCGCGCCCCCCTAGACGTCTGACATTTGCTTTTGCGATCTTACACCATTGTGTTACTTTCTGTCACATCATGGTGACAGAGGCATACTCACTATAAGTTATAGCTATAGGAACTGAGCATTATGATTTGTTGGTATCTTTTGGTATTCCAAATGCTGTCCCTCTTTGACATCACTTGTTTACAGCACAACTCTTACGTATATACGAGTATTGTGAGTTGTGACAAATCCAAGTCTGGGTAATATATTAGCTGTACAGATTGCACTTAAAAAGTGATTTATGTTCTGTTTGTTGCTCAATAGTAATTTGAAAAGTGTGTGTGACTGATTTTGTGAGGGGTTGGTGTTGCAGCGAAGCACTATGCTAGATGAATACCTAAATTGGAAATAGACATTTATGAGATTTGTTTAGCGGTGCGCCTGAGGCCTGTCTAGAAACTGCGTCGATCGATGCTCAAAATCAATACCACACGTCCCACATCTCTTCTCGCGTATGTGTTTACTTATGTTGCTATATTGAATTCGTTTCAATCACAGAGATGCTGCACTATACGTGAATATGTACAGTCCTATATTCCTGTAATTGTTTAGTACAAACATATATTATCAAAATAATTACGATCTAACAGATATAATTTTTTCCAATGATTTCCAACATTTCTACATGCGATCAACACCAGTTCGAAAACTGAGAAAACAACTATGCCGTAAATCTAAGTTCGACAACGTAAGTCTGAAAAATAACTGTAGCATCTTTATTGAATTTCAAAAACCCCAACCCCTACTGAGCGGGGCCGTGGCAAATGCTTGTTCCGGAAGTTTGTTGTATCCAGTATACATATACAACTTGTTTCCGTACATTAAGGAATACCTCAGTATCGATTGCCGGGTGGCGGTACAAGTCCGCCAACGGGCCACTTCAGGTCTATTTAATATCATTAACACGCAAAAAGAAGGTGGTAGACAAGGACCGAGGCGGTACCACCCTATAGCTTTTCCCAGGGTGCCTTATCAATGTCCACATGTTTCCAAGCTATGCAGTCGGTTATCTTCCAAAACAAAGAAATTAATGTTGATGGATCCCTCGAGTACTAAGAATTCCGGATGTAAGCTCAATCTACTCTCAGAATGCCCGGGTGGAGGGTGGACTTGATGGAACAACATCGAAGATAAAATCTGTTTCACGAACATATGTGGGATTAACAGCAACATTGATGATGTTCATCACTACTTGCAATCCAATCGTCCCGCCATGCTTTTCTTGGCCGAGACAAAAATCTCAGAGTCCGCACCGATTAACCATCTTAGCTTACCAAATTACGAGGTGGACTCCAATCTGAGAAAGAGCAAATTTATTTGCTGCCTTTTCAATGACTATAATTTGCTATGGTTGGGCTTAAACAAGACCGATGCAGCAGGTCGTGCAGCTAAAGCGTTCGCTTTTTTTTTATACTCCAACTACCACGAAGGCCTAAAACCTAAACACCCATTGGGTACCATGGGGCTATGAGGGATACGGGGAAAGGGGGGGGGGCGCCACACGGACTATGGCGAGGGAACACGTGTGTATGCAACATGCACACATTCTGGCTCCGCCTACGAGATCCGCCGGGTGGTACCTCCGCGTTCGACAGTCAGAGACCATCTACCACCTACGGACAATCACAACATCCATAGCCAAGAGAAAATATTGGCTTTCTGGGGATTTCTGAGCAATTTCCATGTTCTTTTTTTCAAGCTGGTCTTGACCAGATAGAACACAATGGATTTAAGGAGTAATAATAGAATAAAATCTAGAAGTTCCACTTTCGAACAATATTTGATGTATAACAGTGAAAATTGGTATACAAGGGTTTCTTGGTACGACAAAACGAACCATGGGCATACTTTTACTGTAGCCGCTAGAGGGCGCTCTCTACTGTACCTGTAGTGTATTAAAATGACCTAACATTTTTTCTTAGTGCAGTTTTTTGCTTTTTAATAAAAAAACTGTTTCTTCGCACTTCTCAACATAAAAATGCTCTCTTGTGAATTTTCGTTATAGTTAGCCGTTTTTGAGATATTTCGATTTTTAAGGTTCGATGCATTTTTAATTATTTATGATAAAATAACGTTAAAAAGTCAGTATCTCGATAATTTTTAGAAGTAGGCTGTGCCTGCAAATATTTTTGAAATTGAAAGCAGAATAAGGTTAAACGTCAATTAGTTGACAGTTAGTTTTGTTGTCTGTTGAAACCTGAAACGTTTTTTTTTGCAATTGTGAATGCACGAAATTTAGTTTCGTTTACCTGTTTTTTTTTTGTAAGTTTTATAAAAATGCCATTTTTATTCTCCAATCAAGAGTTAGCGGATATTTATTTTGTGTATGGCTTTGTAAATGGAAATGCAGCAGAAGCAGTCAGAGAATACGCACGAAGATTTCCAAACAGACGACATCCAACTCGCTCAGTATTTGTAAGAGTGCATCGCCAAATAATTTAAAATGGTTTTGGAAATCTCCAAAGGGATCAAACATAAATGTTCGTCAGCGCAGATTTACCCGTATGATTCTGCGTGAGTTTGATAGAGATCCGACCACAAGTGTTAGGAGAGTTTCTGGTGCCTTGGGAATTTCAGCAAACCATGTTCACCGTGTTCTTAGAAATGACCATAGACGTTCTTACCATTTGCAACCTGTGCAAGGACAACAGCCAGGGGACGGAGAACGGAGAATCACATTTTGTCAGTGGATTCTTGATAGAACTGATAATAATAGGGAGTTTTTAAGTAAAGTTTTTGGACTGATGAGTCATGCTTCACTAGACGGGGAGTGGTAAATTTACATAATCAACATATTTGGTCGCATGAAAATCCGCATGAAGTTCGGGAAAGAAATTTTCAGCATGAATTTAGTGTGAACGTGTGGATTGGTATCTACCATAATCGACTATTTGGACCCTACCTTTTGCTTGCAAGGTTAAATGCTGCGACCTTCTTGGAATTTTTAAAGGCTGAACATGCAAATATGTGGGATGATGTTATGTTAGGTTTTAAGAAGATTGGCCTGGTTCCAGCTTGATGGTTGTCCAGCTCATTATTCGAGAATAGTTAGAAACTGGCTGGACGAAAATTATCCAGAAAGATGGATCGGCCGTGGAGGACCAGTCGCCTGGCCTCCACGATCCCCTGACCTAAATCCATTAGATTTCTTTGTGTGGGGATTTCTAAAAGAAAAAGTGTACCAGACTCCCGTAACCGCAAGAGATATGCTAATAGACAGAATCAGGAATGTCTATGATGAAATAAGACCTTATTTGAATAATGCTATACCACGTTCGATCATTCGTAGATGTGAATTGTGTATTGAACAATTGGGTTTACATTTCGAGCAACTACTTTAGATTTTGTATTTTTGTCCTAACTATTCAATAGCATTTTAGTTGTAAATAATTAATTTAATTTGTTAAAAATAATATTGGAAAATTAAATAAATTAATTTTCTGTTTTTTTTTGTGTTTATTTGGAGTTAGGAATTATTGCTGTGTTTAAAAACACAATCTAAACGATCATCCTAATTACTTGTAATGCCCAAATCGAAAATGTAAAAAAAATATTATTTTCCCATAAATAATTAAAAATGCATCGAACCTTAGAAATCGAAATATCTCAAAAACGGCTAACTATAACGAAAACTCACAGGAGAGCTTTTTTATGTTGAAAAGTGCGAAGAATCAGTTTTTTTATTCAAAAAGCAAAAAATCGCACTAAGAAAAAATTTTCGGCCATTTTAATACACTACAGGTACAGTAGAGAGCGCCCTCTAGCGGCTACAGTAAAACTATGCCCATGGTTCGTTTTGTCCAAAAAACCTTTGATTTTCACTGTTATACATCAAATATTGTTCGAAATATTTAAAAAAAACTATTTTAGAAAGTAAATTTAAACACCCTGTATTTCGGTAGCCACGCATTTTTCGACCCATGTTTATATAGACTTTATGCATTAATTTTAAAATTTCTATCGAATCTTAAAGTTATGCAACAATAAACTGAAACACCCTGTATAAGGAGACAGGCTTGCAACTTTATTGCTGACATGCCACCACCTTATGCCATAAACATGTAACGAACAAAAATCTCATAAACACGAGCATGCCTCACGATTTCGAATAGGCTCATCTAATATCTAAAGACCTCACAATACATTGTGCAAAAAATCACTTAAATTCTTAGCAGATAAATTGATGTAATACCAAACGAAATCCTGTTGATACTCCGCGGGTGTATTTGAGTATTCAGAACGTCGCCGATATTTCCATCAGACCTGCGTAGCCTTGTTCATATCGTGCAAAGGCCGTCTGTGAAGACAGCGCCAAATGTAAAAGGAAGAAAGTAAACAAAGTACCAAATAAACAGTAAGTATTTTTCAAGGAAAGTCCAAACGTTCGGGATAACCTGTTTGTTATTGTGGTGGTAAGAACTTCTATGGACAAAGTTCTCAGATTATTTATATAACAGCTGATTATCACAGTATTTCTTACTGAATAATAAAGTCCCAATGGCCTTGATTAAGTGGCATAGATGCAACTTCGCAATCTGACTCGAAGCATCGGAGACCTTCTACCACCCGATGATGGTATTCTTAATCTTCGACAAACGCCGATTAACATTATAATTTATAATAAAGCAGCAACGAGCAGCAATTAAGGCATGAAACACAACATCAGCGTGGCCTTGGCGTCTCGTTGCATCGTTATATTTGACGCTCGACGCGTGACGCGAATCGCGGCAGGTCATGTAATTTTTATGGTATGCGCCACGCCGCCATACCAGAATTATTTATGCACTGTAATGAAGTCGTGTAACCGGTTTCAGGCATTTCTATTGTTTTCTCTTGATATGAGCGTAAATAGACTCATATATTATCACCTACAACAAATATGTAAGAGCTTTGTAAAAAACTGATTATTCAAGTTATCTGTCTATTCAGTATGGACCTTGTAACAGAATGTTGCCAGATTCGTAAATCCCAAGTTATTAGTCGCCTAATAACCTTATCATCAAGATGTTCTTCAGATGATAAATTGTTAAAGCAATAACATAAAGCTTCTCAGGGCTAGAAGGGCAACAAGAGGGTGGATTTCACTGCCTGAACTTGGTCCGTCTGGACATTTCCGTCCGGTGAAAAAATTCCCTTTGGAGCCTAATAACGAGGTTGGATGTTTTTGATTATCTCTAGATTTGGATGTGGATGGCTATTCCCACGTGTGTGGGTGTAGAAGATTAAAGGCACGAAATTTTTGACATGTAGTCAAAGATAATATTCATCATGTCACAAGGCATTGCGCTGTACATGTATGTTCATTTATTTAACGTAACTAAGGGCGAGCACCAAGTGGAAGCTGAGGTCCAGCTAGGTTATCCTGTCTATACTCGTACAAATCACAAAACATACGGCGTTTTTTTAAACCTACTCTAAGGGCCAATTTCACCAACATTAATATTTAACGGTCCCTTGTACCAATAGGAAAAGACCTTATCGAAATGCAATTTGTCAGAAGCAGTCAAAGTTCTCTGAATATCAGTGATTTCTATTGAAATGTCGAATAAAGTCGTGAAAAAACGGTTACCTTATAAATAAGGGTACTTACTTACTTTATAATTAGGATAACTTTCATAGAATTTAAAATTTTTATCATTTCAGAAAAGACGGTCAGTTATTTAAGTGGGACCAATGGGAATGCGGCAAATAATAGGTCGATTTTCTAGCTATTATATTAGGTAGGATGTTTTCACTGTTCATGCATGGCAATCTAGTTTTGTCTGTATATCACGTACAGGGTGTTGTACATAATACGTACCTGTAGAAATCTACCGACGTATTCCAACTGGTTCATCATCTTTTGTTACATCAAAAACAATTTTTGCCAATTTATGATCTGGAAATCCACACCAAATGTAAACAAACAGCACATTTTAAAAGTATCCACCTATTATTCATCGTCTAGATATTATAAGTCAGAATCAAAAATACCTATTTATGAAAATATATCTCCAAACATTGTTATATTTTCTTATTATTTCTATTATTATTACATGTCTGGAATATCAATTGCTTTTAAAGTGATCTGCAGTGTTGCCGAACCGGAAAAAAACGGAATCGGTAAATGCCGTCTCAAGATCAGTGTTAGATCAAGGACCTTTGAGTCATGAAAAACGTCTGTTATTCTATATTACAACTTCTACAATGACTGGTCGCTCTAAGTACTTTTCAAACCATTCTGGAAACTCCTTTTTCGATTCTTGCTTATGGGATTGTGAATATTTTTCTGTTTTACCCCTGAACACACACCTCTCATTTTAATTAAATATTTACTTGGAAAACAGACAGATGACGATACTCGTGAAATGTATCGATACACCCAAGTGTCGTATATAAAAATATCTATCCAAAATATCGGGTATGGGAAGCAAAAGTATCGATACTTCTAAATATAGGATCGTATCGAATATCCCTACTGCCAAGATGTATAACCCGAGGTATCGACTCAGCTATTTTGGGGCGTCATGGAAATAATTTTACAATTTCAAGTGTTGTGCAACGATTTGGGAAAAAATCCACGAATAGTCTTATAAAGCATAGTAGAGTATATTTCAACAGTTGGCGGAGCGTACTTCACTGGGACCACGGGGGTGAAACGGGATATTAA